CCCCCCCCCCCCGTCCCCGCCCCCGCCCCCGCTCCTGGGACGCGTCCTTTTGTGAACAGCTGTGCGCCAGCGAGCGAGCAATTTTTTTCGAGGCATCCAATGTCCAGAACAGCGCACGAGCTATTTTTCTGGTGTCGTTCACGACTTCGGTTCAAGAAAATCCTGGGTGACCTTCCTCCTGCGTACATAACCGGGGGCCGATGCGCCCAACACACTTTACCGAAAGGCGTGTAGACTGACGCCAGAGTATGATGAGGTGAACACACACAAACAAGCTATTGTTTGTCTGCTCTCGATCTGGTTGCTGTTTTTGCTTTGCGCAGCTCACGCCCATGGAGATGATGAAGCTGCGCATGCGCAAGGCCCTCGACAGCCAGCTGCAGAAGGACAAGACCGCCATCGCAAAGAAGTCCACCAAGGACAGCAAGATGGCAGAGCTCGATCGCAAGTGAGCGACAACGACGTTCGTATTAAAATAGTTGTATGACGCCCGTCAAAAATGGGACTTTTAGAAGGGAAAGTTGATGCTGGGGGTATTGCGAAAGTGTTTGTCGAACGCACCTTTGCCGTGTGGCATGTAGCAGCGTGCCCTTTGCGTCCTTTCTGGAGACTGCTGCCTCCCCTCTTCGTGTTATTAGTGTTGCTCGGACTCTGTTGCTCACCGTGGTGTTGGACAAACGCCCCGTGAAAAGTGCACACCGTTTAGTGAGATGCCCTGGCTGTCCGAATTTTGGTGCAGATGCGTGTGTCGTTATCGGCAGGTTGCATAGATAGTCGCTTACCCCTTGCGCCACGTCGTCGTCCCTCATAAACAAGACCTCTCCACGCCAACACTCAACGCTTCTTTCTCCCGTTGCTTGGGTCTGCGTCCGGGCGCAGGCAGCAGCAGCTGGACGAGGAGCAGCACGAGCGCCTGCAGGCGAGGGCGAGGGCCGCCGGAGGCCGCTCGCGGTCGCGCTCCCGCTCCGGCTCCCGCTCACCGCCACACGCCACCGGCCGCCGGCGGCACCGCTCGAGGTCTCGTTCGTCCTCATCCTCTTCCGGCCGCCACCGCTACCGCCGGCGACGTGACGACAGAGATACTGCAAGGAGCGGTTCCTCCTCCGGTTCCAGGTCGCGTTCCGTGCCCTCTCACAGGTGGCCTAAAACCCGATCGCGCTCGCGACTGACAGAGAGAGAGAGAGAGCCAGCGTGGGGGAGTCCTGGTATTTATTGTTCATTGGGGTTTAGGGCGTTGCGGGCGAGGCGTTGGGCGTGTACTGTCTGCCACCCGTTGCTGTTGCTGCTGTTGTTTGGATGGGTGTTGCTTGTTTTTGTGGGTTTCAAGCCCCCTCTACGCGTCGAGGAACGTGGACGGTCCGTCCTCTCTCGACCTATTGGAAGGTGTGCATGATGCCTCTGGAACTTGGGGGGAGGAGGGGGGGGCGCGGCGGAAGTGCTTCGGAGCTGGGTGCTACAATCCGTTGGCACACACACGTACGTGCCCTCTTCCCGTTCTCTCGTCAACCTGCAGCGGGCAAGGACCCGCAGTGGGCGACGGCAATGGAGGGTCGGGTCTTTGAGTGGCCAAGCGAATGGTTCTTTGCGTGCTTGACGCCGCTGTCCGCCGGACTTTTATGGGTCTCCACTGCGCTCTATTTGCTTTCTCGCATAGAATCGTCGTCTTTGGCGGGAAGGCGTTGTTAATTTTTTGCCGAACCCGGCGGTGATAGGCAATCACGAAAAGGCTGCCGTTGTTGCCGAACGGCAGTGACTCGCACATCGAAATTTCCTGTCCGCGTCACGTACTACTCCTCATCTCTGCGGTGGCCAGGTAGGAGCTGTTGTGCGTTCAGCCTACTTCTCGAGCTAAGCGCCCCCCCCCCCCCCCCCCCCCCCG